ACACTCACCTGGGAAATCAAAGTGTGTTTGTCTAGTTAGAGGTGAAGGCTGCGCGGGACTTGATATACTTGACGTTGTTGAAGACGTTGCAAAATGTGCAGGACTAGAAGGAGTGGAGGATGTCGTGGATGATGGATTTGAACTGGATTCCATATGATATAAGTAGTTACCATTGTCATTAGGACTTAAACTAACTTTAACTGAAGGGTTATTGTTTATTCCGTGTCCGCTTTGAGCTGTAGCCTCTGCTGCTGCTTGCCTCATAGCTACATACAAGAAATGGAACATTTGTAAGCATTTATTGTTATATTTCTAAGTAAAACTATTTAAAATACCATGTGTTATATAATAATTAATTTTTACTGTGTAAGTGAAAGAAAAGTGACCAATCAAAAAAAATTGTTTGAAAGAATTGAAAAATTGTAGGCAATAAAATAAATAGTACTTTTTTTTTTATATAAAAATGATTGATTTTTTACATAAAATTAGGTGTAACTATTCAATAACTCAATAGTATGTTTCCAAAAAGCATTGTAATAGTTTATTATGATCTATTTATCAGTATGCATTGATCACAAATGATGATATTTATAGTTATGTATCATTTAAATTCAATATTCAAATTGTGAAGAAGTACTTGTTACAACGTTCTCCAGTAGATGGCGGTGATGAAGGAAAGCCTACGGTGCTCCAACTACGGTATTGAAAACATCCTTGCAATACCCACACAAACCCCTTCCCTTTTTCTATTTGCAGAAACTCTCAGACCACAACTCTGGCCCATTAATGTTTAAAAAAATCCAGTTTACTTAAAATGAAAGTAGACTGATGTCAGCTGAAAAAATTCCTGCTACATGTGAGAACATGTTGAAACAAAATAGTTAAATCTTGTGATTCACAGGATGCTTTAATCTAAATCTAGTAGTTTTCATGAATCCACAGCAAATCAACTGTGATCTACAGAGTAAAATAACCTCTTTACTTATTCATGTGTATTACAGAGTATAGTGCATGTGGAATGGGTTTAAATCCTTTTAAAATATCATGGCCATGTCAAGAAAGCATTGACAGGTGGATGTTTAGGCTAAAGGTTCTAATGTATAGCACAAAACAAAACAACATATTTGAGTAACAAGTACAGTAGAAAAGAAAAAAAATACCTGCTATTCTGTCTATCATTGGTGAGAATTTCCTAAATTTTAGAAAATAAAAAGAAAACAGAAAACACACAACACTTAAAACAAGACAATAAAGAGGTGTGATTGTCGATATACAATTTGGAGATGAATACAGGATATTGGGATAGATACTGTCAGCATCAGCCAAGAACGAGGGGGCATCAACAACAAAGGAATGGAGGCACAAGCGACAGCAAGCCAAAGAAATGGAAGCACCAGCGACAGCAAGCCTAAGGAATGGAGGCACTAGTGACAGCAAGCCAAAGGTATGGAGGCACCAGTGACACCATGCCAGAGAAATGGAGGCACCAGTGACACCATGCCAGAGGAATGGAGGCACCCGTGACAGCAAGCCAAAGGAATGGAGGCACCCGTGACAGCAAGCCAAAGGAATGGAGGCATCAGCGACAGCAAGCCAAAGGAATGGAGGCACCAGTGACAGCAAGCCAAAGCAATGGAGGCACCAGCGACAGCAAGACAAAAGAATGGAGGCATTAGCGACAGCAAGACAAAGGAATGGAGGCACCAGCGACAGCAAGCAAAAGTAATGGAGGCACCAGCGACAGCAAGCCAAAGGAATGGAGGCACCAGCGACAGCAAGCCAAGGCAATGGAGGCACCAGTGACAGCAAGCCAAGGCAATGGAGGCACCAGCGACAGCAAGCCAAGGCAATGGAGGCACCAGCGACAGCAAGCCAAGGCAATGGAGGCACCAGCGACAGCAAGCCAAGGCAATGGAGGCACCAGCTACAGCAAGCCAAGGCAATGGAGGCACCAGCGACAGCAAGCCAAGGCAATGGAGGCACCAGCAACAGCAAGCCAAGGCAATGGAGGCATCAGCGACAGCAAGCCAATGGAATGGAGGAACCGGCGACAGCAAGCCAAAGGAATGAAGGCACCACTGACAGTAAGCCAAAGGAATAGAGGCACCCATGACAGCAAGTCAAAGCAATGGAGGCATCAGCGACAGCAAGCCAAAGGAATGAAGGGACCACCGACAGCAAGCCAAAGGAATAGAGGCACCAGTGACAGCAATCCAAAGCAATGGAGGCACCAGTGACAGCAAGCCAAAGGAATGGAGGCACCAGCGACAGTAAGCCAAAGGAATTGCGGCACCAGCGACAGCAAGCCAACAGGATGAAGAAGAATTGGCATTAGCAACAGAAAGTCAAAGGAATGCAGGCATCGTCAACAGAAGGCAAAGGAAGATTGGTACCAGCAACAGAAGCTAAAGGAATGTATACATTAACAACAGAAGGCAGAGGACGAGTTGGCATTAGCAACAGAAAGCTTAAGGAATGCAGGCATCATCAACAGAAAGCCAAGAAAGAGTTGGCATTGGCAACAGTAAGCTAAAGGAATGCAGGCATCGTCAACAGAAGGTAAAGGGAGAGTTGGCATTAGCAACAAAAAGCCAAAAGAATGCAGGCATCATCAACAGAAGGCAAAGGAAGAGTTGGCATTAGCAACAGAAAGTGAAAGGAATGCTGGGATCATCAACAGAAAGCCAAGGAAGAGTTGGCATTGGCAACAGTAAGCTAAAGGAATGCAGGCATCAACAACAGGAGGCAAAAGAAGAATTGGCATTAGCAAAAGAAAGTCAAAGAAATGCAGGCATCGTCAACAGAAGGCAAAGGGAGAGTTGGCATTAACAACAGAAAGTAAAAGGAATGCAGGCATCAACAACAGAAAGTCAAAGAAGAGTTGGCATCTATGATAGAAAGCTAAAGGAATGCAGACATCGACAACAGGAAGTCAAGGAAGAGTTGGCATTGGCAACAGTAAGCTAAAGGAATGCAGGCATCAACAACAGAAGACAAAGGAAGAGTTGGCATTAGCAACAGAAAGTAAAAGGAATGCTGGGATCATCAACAGAAAGCCAAGGAAGAGTTGGCATTGGCAACAGTAAGCTAAAGGAATGCAGGCATCAACAACAGGAGGCAAAAGAAGAATTGGCATTAGCAAAAGAAAGTCAAAGGAATGTAGGCATCGTCAACAGAAGGCAAAGGGAAAGTTGGCATTAACAACAGAAAGTAAAAGGAATGCAGGCATCAACAACAGAAAGTCAAAGAAAAGTTGGCATCTATGATAGAAAGCTAAAGGAATGCAGACATCGACAACAGGAAGTCAAGGAAGAGTTGGCATCAGCAAGGCAAAGGGAGAGTTAACATTAACAACAGAAAGTAAAAAGGAATGCAGGCATCAACAACAGAAAGTCAAAGAAGAGTTGGCATCTATGATAGAAAGCTAAAGGAATGCAGACATCGACAACAGGAAGTCAAGGAAGAGTTGGCATCAGCAACAGAAAGTCAAGGATGAGATGGCATCAAAAACAGAAAGCCAAGGAAAAGATGCCATCTGAAATGAAAAGCCAAAGTAATGTAGGCATCAACAACAGAAAGCCAAGTGAACAAACATCAAACTGCATACTGTAAATGTAGATGTGTCATAAGAGCTTGGGCAAAAGCACTATCTAACAGAAAACAAGACACATGCACAGGTCATATTGCAGAAGAATAATTCATGCATACAAGGCAAGAAAAAAGTTATCATTTATCCCACTGATAGTGATCAAAAGTAATGACAAGAGGATTCAGTAAAAGTGCAAACATTGTCAGTAATAATCAGGAATTACATGTTTACAGTAACGAACATCCTTAGGTTACAGACACTGGGATTGTACATACTCCATATAATATATACACTCATGTATTTATACGTTTTTTCAAAACTTGTGCAGGGTTCTCATCCAAGACTACAGTATTATGGGATATTTTACACCTGGAATTTATCACCAGAGAAGATTTTTGAATTGGTGTCTCAATCAAATAATGCTTCTTGTGGAGTTCATTAATACCGATTATATACAAATCTTTCTCATAATATTTTCAATTTTAACCATTTTTAGAGATTGATTTTTACCGTATTTGCTCAAAGTTGTTCTGTAAATATCATATATGTATGTATGAATTGCATGTGAAAGGCTGAACAACTCACAGGTTCTGGGCACGTGTGAGATCTATTTCTGACTTATTTTGAAGTTTTATAAATAAATTAATAATAAGTACCATAACCTATTAAACATTTTAACAATCACCATAGCAGTGAATGCAATTTAGATGATTAACTGATATGTAAATTTGACATAACACCAGCCATGGTCATAGTTATGGGTATGAATTAATACATGATATTTAGATTTTAACGCCACACAATAATTTTTTTCGTTAAAACAGTAAAACTTAATTCTGCATGATAGTTAGTTAAAATGCAATTGTGAATTGCTCTTGAAAATAATAAATCCTAGCCATTAATTAACTTCCAAGCAGTAATCAATATTTTAACACACATACAACACTACTAATATCTCTAGATGCACATACACTAACAACCCAACTCTTAAAACCATACCAATAACTTACCCACCTACATGTACATAAGTATGGGAATTAATAATAGAAGAATAAATAGACTAAATAGTGTTGACATACCAGGATTGGTCATTTCGTTCCTGAATTCTTTCTCAAGTTCATCCGGCAGCCCACAGGAAGGGAGCTTTCTGGCTTCAATTTCACATTTCGCATGACATACGTATCTGGGAAATGAAGAAATAAGAGCGAGATATTTTTTTGTAACTTTTTTATCAGTTTTTCATCACAATTTTGTTCATTTTCCAGGAATTCATCACCTAACTTTTAATTCTGGTAGTCTCCCATAAAGTTGAGACGAAACTGTCCCAATATCAGTTTTATTTCAAGATGAACTTTCTAGGACTCCCAAGGCATTTTTTTCTTGAATTCCATGATTTTCCAGTATTTTCCAGGAATATTACAAAATCCTGCCAGCCATTTTACTGGTGACTAATCACAAGATAATTTGCTATATTTTGTTAAGAGGTGCTTAGATTCATTCTTGGACTGTACATATATTTTTGGTTTAAAATAATATAAACAAAACAAAAAAAATATATGGTTTAAAAAAAAAACTCACTTGCACTCTTTACATCGGTATCCTTTTTTAAACATGACATTTTCACCGCAGTAATCACAGTTCTGAGGTATAAGAAAAGTCTTCTTTGTAAACCTGAAAACAAGCAAGAGGTTCCAAGATTGGCAAATTGTATAAACCATATAATAAGTTTTAACCAACAATATCAGCTACAAATCAATGAAGTTAACCTACCTGTGATTAATAGAATGTATCATACTTTTTGTAGGTGTCCTAGGGGATCTCGGTCGGCCTGGCAGTGCATCTACCGAGAAATTAAAATAAACGTTTAACCTTTCCAAAAATATCATTTTACACAGCAAAATGTTGGTACAAGAGTTTACCATATTTTTGTAAATTATTAAAAACAAACAATTTTGCCATTTTAAATCTGAAAAAAAAACATAACATGCACCTATAACACAATACATACTGACATCATACCAATATTGATTTAAAAAGAAAGCTAGTCATTTATGGAAACAGACTGGAGACACATTTGATCAAATCTTGAAAACAATTGACATGCATATATAGAACATTATTTGTTCCAAGTATGAAAATTAGTCAATCGTGTCCGAAAAATGGCTCTGAACACATTCCAAGCAGGTAGTGAACAATTTAGACCACCCAACAATTTTAAAGTCATTCAAGTGACAGTGCCCTCAGTAGTAAATTGCTGAACTTACTCTGTGATCTGGCCAGCAGATCATGTTTATCGTGAATAAAATGGTGCGGGGTTGGTGGCGTCCTTGCCGGAGAATTCTTCCTGGGAGACGACTGACCACTACTTGCTCCTGCATCAGAATCGGATTCAACCGAACGGCGCCTTTTTGACAAGACTTCGTGACTACCGCCAACAATTCCAGGCATCTTTAAGTTAGTGGGCTTCTTAAAATTTCTAGAACTAAGTTTGGGAAAAAATATAAATCTTTTCAACAAAACAAAACCATACATGATAATTCATCAAAAAAATATAGTTGTTTGTGACCACCTCTCCACAGCAACCATCTTTGACCAGTTAAAGTTAAAGGGCAGTGGTCGTCGCACTGCGCATACGCGACATTTGTGTTGATAACATTGATTTACCCACAACCCAATGCGCTCTTCTAATGGAAGTATGAGAGGTTTGACCTGGGCGCGACTTGCACCATCAGTGACTCCTTCGATACCTTCCAATCACCTAAAAAATACTTAATTTAAGCTTGGTAACATCTCAGTTTGTACTCGTTGATCTGCGCAACAGTCAAAGTTGCCGTCTTTGTTTATATGAGACCCATATATCTTGCGCATGCGTGGCGCAACGTCTACTGCCATTTAAGCGATCTGTTTAAAAGACCATGTGTAAGTATACATAAAGTGACCACCCTTTTGTAATTTACCGAGGTGTAAATAATTTATTCTAGAAAAGTATTTTTTTTTTTAAATTGAGCACTGAGCTGAACTCTCTACAATGAAACATAGATATTTTGCGTGTATTACAATCTGCTGTATTACTTGTATTATAAGTCCAATAGAAATATATGTACACTGAAATATTTTGACCATAGAAACCACTTTATGTAAGCGCAATTTATGTAAGTGCATGTACTACTGATATTGTATATTATTGTTATGTTAATAATTTTTAATATATTAATATATTAACCATTAAGCACAAAAGTCAATTTTTTTCACCATTTCAGATTAGACCAGAATAATTTTGTTTATACTATTTTTAAAATTGTAATTAAAACCTGCGGACAGTAAGAAATTATGTTTAGTTATGCTCCAAAATTATCGTCAGAATTACTAAATGTCAGCGTGAATAAATTATGGCAAACAAATGGTTAACTGTTATATTGCATTAAAAATACCGGTAAGTAAATAGGTTTGTAAAAGCTGATAGAGCAATTTATTGAATTCCGTCATAAATTATAGGATGATCCGTTCACTGCTGTTGCCAACGCATCCTTCCTCTGTTAGTTGTATACACAGGAAGCAGAAATCATAACAACAATAGCATGATTGGATTTTAGATATTCAGATAACACCTAAGTCAGTCATTTAGCGGCAAATCGGTCAGGATGTGACCGAGATAACTTGTGAATACCGCAGCTACTGTAATTTGATTTTTAATTTTTGGTGTCAGGAATTTCAATGAATTGATAATTTTATAGATTTCATGACAAAATTCTCTAAAAATATAAGATATTCCTTTTCATATGATGTGATTTTTTTTGTTGCAAATAGTGGTTCCTTGCAAAATTAAAGCAGTTTACCATATTTAATTAATGTTACAGGTTGTCAACAATATATTACTATAAGGTTATTATGAGGATACCTCAAAGTATGCATGAAGACAGTACTGACGTGGAGTCTGGTGGCAGCCATGTTTGTGTTTATTATTAGAGGACGCTTACGCACGTAATCATTCCATATTTTGATATATCATATCATTTCCTTGTATGATATGATGAAAATACCCCGTAAAATACTGCAAAATTATGGCACACTGTAACTTATGGCGTTACGATGACTGATGTATAATAATAGTATATAGTAGATATTACAATTGGGAATGAATTGATGACTTACTTTGCATCTGAGTTAACTTTATAAAGTAGCGACGTCTCATCAGATTTACTTCTTTTTAAGTTATTTTCTGGAACCACAAGTTTCTTTTTTGGTGGAGGCGTCCCTTTGCTGGGCATCTTGCCCTTTTTCACCATACTGCTCGGTGTTGGAGGTGGTGAAATTTTCCAAATTGCATTGGGATGGTTTTCGTTTGACGTAGCAGGTGGCGTGGGCGGGGGAATGAATTGTTCAAAGGGATTGAATGTAGTTGATAACCTATGTTGTTTGGGAGAGCCTGTCAAGTTCACAGGACAGCTTTCTAGATCTCCGTTCCAGTGGTCCACATGTAAATCACTCACGCTTTCACCTTCAGCTATGCCTGGAATAATAATAATAACATAGGGTGAAGCTTAAATCACGGGGAAGGCTGCCATTAAACACAATAGCATATGTGCTCTTCTTTTTCACTCCCTGAAACATACAGATTTTTTTTATTTAGCAGGATAGTGTTCCTGTAAAAAAAAAATGTTCTTGCCTGTATCAAATTTGTGCATTTTTTTGCCTTACATGT